CCTTAGCAAAGCGCATCCCAGGCTGCATAGCCGCACTACCCTACCCAACCATACCACACATAAACATGACACTACCCCCGGGGTTTACACAGACGAGCCGGCGAAGCAAGAAGAGCGCCAGAAGAAAGGGCCCTAGCCGGCGGGGCCCAGCCAGGACAAAAGGAGGTCCCACAAAGCGCCTACACCGGCCGCATTTGCGGTCGGGGTAGACGACGGATGGGGCCCACCTACGAAGGCTGTCCAGGCCTACACGAGATGAGGCAGGATAAAGAGGGATAATCCCCCTCGATCCCAAATCATTGAGGCCAATTTCTAGCCATAGAATAATGTGGAGGGTTTAGGTGTCGGGGGGCGCGTGTTTGGTGTTTGTGGTCGTGTTTTGCTTGTTTTGTCTGATTGTTTATGTCTTGGGGCTTTGTCCTCGCTAGAGGATTCCGCCGTGTGTTTTTTGCTTTTCTCTGTGCGTGTGTGAGCGGTTTGTGTGTGTGGGGGGGGCGTGTGTGTGTGCCTGTCTGGGGTATATTGTCTGTCATTTGTTTGTTGATGAGTTTGTCGAGTTTTTGGTGTAATTTAGTGGTGTTTTCGTCCGAAAGGTTAATTGTTTTTTGAAAATCGACGATTTGCTGTGTCATGGTTAGTATTTGTTGGTATTGTCGGGTGTTTTGTTCTGTGAGTTCGTGTATTTGTTGTTTTAGCTAGTGATGGGCATAATCGACCAATTTTGATAATCGAGTTATCGGTAATCGAGTACTTCCAATAATCGAGTGATCACTCGAGATACGAGATATTGGTCGTTTTCAACCCAGCGGCGCACAAATATGTTTGTATTAGTCATATATTACTTATAAGCGTAGCTAAAAAAAAAAAGCTCACGCACTTCAAAACCTAACCACTTTTTCGTTTTATTCTAAAAAAAAGGTTACGCAATCAGTGACTATTTGCAGTATGCACTAACATTTTGGGGTGCAACCGTAGGGTAGTAATCACTCGAGTGGTGGGAGTAAACATCTCGAGATATCTCGAGTGATCTCAATAATCGAGTACCACTCGATTTTTCACTCGAAATCTCCCATCACTAGTTTTAGCGTCTCGTTTTCATGTTTTTGTGTTAGTAGCTGTTCGAGCTTCGAGCATAAAAGCATAGTCTAAAGAAATTAGGCTATGGTAAAAGCTTGTGTAATATGGCTTTAGTGAATGAAACGAACATAGGTCATACTGTATATTCCATAGCACGGATTTCTTAAATTTAATTTAAGAAATCCGTGATTCCATAGTGAGTTGATTAGTTGACTGGAAAATTCTGTGTGCTGGTTAAGTACTCTAAGGTTGAAGGAGAAGAAGAGATTTTTTGAGACCAATACCAATTTGATATATGATGATAAGAAGCGTTTGTTTAAAATCTTGATTGAAATTGAAATCATAAGCCAAGAAAGTGTATATTAAATACTGAGTTGGTTTATATAGTTTATAAAGTTATAAAATTGAATCAAATACTTTAGAATAATAAGATTAAAAAATAACCCTCTGGTATTCTATAATGAGTGAAAAACAGTTATCAGCTGTAGAAGCTGAATTATATGACCGGCAAATTAGGTTATGGGGTATTGAATCACAAGAAAGGTAAATCAATTTTTAAATTAATTGTATTACGTTTTTTACAAATATGTAAGGAATCCAAAAAATTCTACAAATAAGTTAGTATAAATAACTAATTAAAAAAATTATTTTAGATTAAGAGCTGCAAATGTTCTATTGATTGGCATAAGAGGTTTAGGATCAGAAATTGCAAAGAATATTTTGTTGTCTGGTATTAATTCCCTTACCATTTTAGATGATGGCATTGTTACAGAAGAAGAGCAAATAAAGAATTTTTTACTAAGCAGAGATAGTTTGAGAAAGAAGGTAGTATTCGTTGATTTGTATTACGTTGAGTATAATGTATATTTGAATTTGATACAGTTCCAGACATTTCTTTGGGATAAAAAGATTTAAGTGCATTTCTTTATTAACATTTTGAGGAATGAACCTGCACATAATCAGAAATGACCATCTTATTTTTTCATCTTATTTATTTGTTGAAGATATTGTTTATTTATATGTCTATTAATCTAGTATTTCTTTATTTTCAAGAATTTACATCATGAATATAGTGCAAGATATAGTGACAGAAATTTAGAAAGCAAACTTTTAATTTTTATGGGTGTACTTTTATTGTAATGGTTATTTTTTTCTGAAGACGTTGAAGGTAGGTTTTCCTCTAAAATTTCTCAAATGTTTAAATGCATCTTCAGGAAGTGTCGGCTTGTGTATACTAGGTCTTCCCTTGTAAAGATGTCTACGATGTGCTACTTTATCTGATACAATTTTTTGTGTTTTTTTAATCAATCCCTCAGGAGGAAACTCAATATTTTTTCGAATATTTCTAATTTGTTGAGCCTTGATTTTATGTTCTTCTTTTAAAGATTCTAACTCCTCACTCATTGATTTAAGCTGTCTCATTGATACTTCCATGTCTCTCAACAACTCGCTTTCTGTTAGAAGACCAGATTCATCACGTAATTTATTAGTCATATTTCGATAATAGTCACGTTGCTGTTTTAGTTTGTTTAAATTTCCTCTAACCTATAAATGCCGTAATTTATAGTTGAAAATACAAAATCAGTGGGTAAATTAATAGATATTTTTTTAACATAATAATAATGAACTGGAAAATAAATGTGCAGTATATATTTAAATAGCTCAATTATATAGGTATTGTGAGAAGTTTAGTTTCTGATCAAATTTGTTTAATTTAATGCACCTCTAATAGGAATATTCCTAGAGATTCATATTCGATAGTCACAATTTACAGAACGGGCTAAATCTAAAATTTATATAATTATTTTTTATTTCGTACTAAATTATGTGTTATTAAAATTGATGATAATTTCCAATAATTTTCGAGAATGAACATTTGTTTACAGTTCCTTAAGACCATAAAGCATTATGAAGTAAATAAATAATTATCTGACAAAGTTAAAAATACAAACAATTTATGACGGACAATAAACTTATCCCTTATCTTTATGGTAAAACAAGAACTGAAGTTGTAAGGACCAATAAAAAAAAGCATATTTGATTCAGTGCGGGAATATTTTTCTCATTTCGTAAATGCAATTTCATCGGTTACTACAGTGGACTCCTAAACCGGCCACGTTTTAACTGGCCTCCGCTTTAACAGGATACACACAAAGAAACAAACGAATATCTACGATTACTTTTAGAGCATATTTTTATATTTACAGTACAGTCCTATGCTAAATATGATATTTAATAACCCGTTTAGTAAGGATTAATATGTACATATTTGTATGTACTGAAGTTACTTTAATACACTAGTCTAAAGTAAATGTGTTTCGTTTTTTTCCTATCAAAATCCTACCAATGTAAATTTTCTTAATTATGCATATCATATTACAATGAAGTAGACTATATATGTAAAATTGTATGTATGTACAGTTTAATACTGCAAAAACAAAGGGAGTGTATTTTAATATAACGTTGGTTTAACCAGTCAAATCGTTATCCGGTCAGGCTTCAGGTCCCAAAAATAACATCTATACGCTAGCAACCAGTTTTCAATTTAATCTGAATAAAGCATTTTTATTAGAATTATTTGAAAAAAAAATTCCCGTTAATGAAGTTTTGTCTTGTATTTGAGACAGATCAGTTAATCTTTGCTTATATGATCTTTACTTTGCTAATCAATGAGTTAAATCTTTTGAGAAAAAATTAAATTAAATAGAACAAAATTATATTAAATTGAATAAAAACCAAAAAAGTTTGTTAGTTTATTAAGTGGAAGAAGAAATCAGCTATGCCTCTTTGTTCCCAAGATAGCTTTTTTTCTATTTACCATCAAAATAAGTTCTAATGCAAAAAGAGCGAAATCCTGAGAGGTTTTAGTCTACCCTGTGAGTTTTGCACATCCTACTTTGTTATTTGTAAAGAACAACTTTTTGAAATTCTTCTTTTTCGATACGTTTCTTTGGATCAATTAGAACCTATATCTACGATATTTACTTCTAAAATTAACATTTATAATTAAACAATTAGTTGCAAAAAACAAATTAAATTAATTAACAAATTCCTGGAGCAACAATTTCACGGTTAATTAAATCGGCTTATGGCGCACTTGTTGGACATTGGATTAACTGTCTTTTCCATAAATTTCATTAACATCCATTGCTTTTTGCTATAATAATGCGTAATTTTCGAAAACTGATTTTTCTGCATTCGACCTTTATTTTACAGTTAACAAATTTGTGAAATATGACTGTAGGTACCTTATATTGTAGGTAATTTAATTGCTTACAACATAAAAGAACTAATTTTCCGATGGGTCGTCTAGATTTTCATGGATAGTAAAAAAAGTGAAAAAACACGTAATTTTGTCACTTATTTTGCAATTTGCCAACTTGGTGTCACTTCTTTCGAGTTAGTTTTTTGATATTATCATTCTACATAGCATTCACCATCATAAAATGCATTAAAATGTCTACTAATAATTTTTCTATGTTCAAACTATAATTTGACTGGACTTGAGTAAATACTAACCGTTATACTATTTTGTTTGAGATTTTGAAGGTCAGTGCTTAAGTCAGAAATATCTGATTCAAGTGCTGCAGATTTCTCTCTCATATGCGCTAGTATTTGAATTGTTTTTTGGCATTTATTCCTTAGTCTTGATAATTCTTCATCTTTCTCCTCCATTTTGTCCATGTAACTTCTGTTTTCTACTTTAAGTTGTTCAAAATCCATTAAATATAAATTTTCACCAATTGTATCCAGTTGGCTTATTGCAGTTTGCTTTTCAACTACCATATTTTTTAGTTGTATGTATTTTAATCTCATGTCGCTTACTGTTTGCATTTGTTGTTTCTGACGATGTACCAACCTTTCTACTAATTTGTCTGGTATAGCCTTTCCAGTTTTTGTATGAATTAATCCAAACCCTGTATCTTTTTCTTGAATTTGTAAATCATCAAACATTTTATGTAATTCATTATTTTTATTTTCTCTTTCTGATTTTAAATTATCTAATTCTGTAGTTATAGTTGTTCTTTGAATATAATCTAAATTACTTAATTCCCCATAAGCATCTAACTTTTTCCCATATTTTTCCTGAGTATCAATTTGTTGGTCAGTTTCTTTTAGAACATGGTCCATTTTTCTTCTCTTAAAGAATTTTACCAGCCTCTTTTGGAGTAAATTGTTTCTAAGTTTTTCAGCTGTATATTCTGTCATTAAATTTTCATATTTTTCATAATATGGAGCTCTGTCTATTGACACTTCTTCTTCCTCCGACACAGATTCTTCCTGAGCTTCCTCCTCATCTTTTTCATCCATGTATTTATAAAATTTTAAAGGTATATCCTCTTCCTGTAAAAGAAAATCTCCCGTATCAATTTGGGTATCTTCAGCGTCACGTATTCTAGGCCCCATTTCGTAATAAATACTGCCTCTGCCATGTGTAAAACCAGTATCTTTTTCACTCATAGTTCTGTCCCGCCCTTCACCCTCTTTATTATTTTCTTCCTCTGTTTTACCTTCTTCACTTGAAACTTCTGCTTTCTCGGCAGTTTCAAATATGTTATCCATTTCTTTTTGCTTTTCCTCTTCTGCTTTTTCACGTTCTGCTCTTTCCTCTTCTGTTAGTTCTTGAAGTTCAAATTCGTTTTCTGCATTTTCTTCTTTATCTTTTTTAAAATCGTCCTGTTCTTCGATGCCATCTCCTGCAATTTCTACTTCTTCGGTTTTATCATCATCTTCATTTTGTTCTATTTTTGGTTCCTCCTTGTTAGATTTATTATCTTCATCATTTTCATTGATTTCATCATTTTTTTCTTCAGTTTCAGTAAACTCATTATTTTCACCAATATTTTGTGTAATATCTTCATTTTCTTCCATCTTTATACTTTTTAAAATTATTTAACAAACATATGTCAAACTATTTATATGTTAATAACTTGATTAAAATTTTTGTTACGTAAATAATACATGTATTGATCAAACAATTGTTGTTACCATGATTGTATTAGATGTTTATAAATCAATGTACAGGGTGATTCACTAACAATGGGAAAGTCGAAAGCTGAAGATACTACACGTGAAATGGTGACCATTGGCTCAAACATGCCTTATCCGAAAGTTGATAGTTTCGGAAATACAGGGTGTTGAAAGTTAAAATTTTAAACCGTTTTTTTGCGATTATTCTGAAAATATGTAGGTTAGGAACTTGAAAATTTGTGAAACTATATTCTTTTAGGCGACAAATAGAATGCGTGTTTTAAATTCAGCGTTGCTCATAGAGGGCGCCACTTACGACCAATTTTACCGAAAATTTAGTTAATAACTTTTTACCCTAAATGTCTAACATGAAACTTGATTCAAAACTTGAAATAGCAATCATTTTTCCATTAATTGTGTATTCTTGTTTCATTTCGGTATCTCGATCCGTTTTCGAGAAAAATCAATTTAACAAACACTATGTTTTGATAATACGAGAAATTAAAAGCGAAAGAAACCAAGTGTTTCTTCGTGTTATTACAACAATTAACAATAAAACAAATGAAATTCGTAATAATGATTTAAAGTCAGTGTTCGAAGAATCCACCGTTGACATTTACATACTTTACACAACGTTTTCTGAGAGATCTTCGAGTTTGAAACAACATATTGGGATTGCGTTTGACTTCGTTGGCAGCGATTTGTATTCTTTGCCACAACTCTTCACACGAGCCAATAGATTCTTTGTAAACTATATCTTTCATTCGAGACCAAATAGAAAAATCAAGAGGATTGAAGTCCGGACTTCTGGATGGCCAAGCAAAAATGCTTACATGGCCAATCCAGCGATTTGG